CACAGGCGTTCGCTCACGGCCAAGGCCGTCCTTCGATGGAGACGGCAGCTCCGAGAGGCGGAGCACAGGTCGGCAGCGTCAGACCCGGCTGGGCCTGGTCACACACGCGCTTCTGGGCTGTAAAATACATGCACGTATGTGGAGCCGCTTTAAACGCAGCCGGAGCTGCTGTCCGGGGACCCGCCTGGCGCGTCTGGGACCTCAGACCTCTGGCTGTTAAAACCGGGCCCAGGAACCAGAACCTCTGTGCCGGGTGCAGAGCAACATTGTGTCCAAGCAGCTGTCCGCCTGGCAACAAGGTAACAAGGAAGCAGACACTGTAACTAACCGCCAACCTGGTGGCTCCGGGGCTGGACGTTGGAAACACTGTTTGGCGTTTTCGATACCACGCTACCTTCCGCTCCCAGTAACAATATAGATATTTAAGAAATAATGGATTAAGGGGCAGTTTCTAAGAGTTCACCTAGCGAACAGGCATGTGATCTATGTCCAATTTAGGGAAAACAGCCATGGGATCCTCAGGCATAAGCATCAAACAGAAACCACGTGGAATCTAAGACAGAAAAGAAAAAAGACGGGGGCGGGGGGGGGGATATAGGAAAAAACAAGACGAGACGAGCAAGTCAAGACTTAGACATCCTCTTCCTCCGACGACACCCGAGGGACCGCTGCCCAGACCCGAGTCCTCGCGCCCCACGGGGACACCCCTCGCCCATGGGGACACCCCTCATCCACGGGGACACCCCTCATCCACGGGGACACCCCTCGCCCACTGGACACGCCTCGCCCACACCCACCCGGGTGTGGACTGAAGACGGAACTGCCTCTTCGCGGCCCTAGTGGTGGATGACGCTCCTTTCTTAGAAATATCAACAGATGATTCTTTCTGTCTCTTTTTATTTGCTTTTTGCATTTTTTAAACAAATCATTTTTGGTAGCTTGACTGTGTTATCCTTGGGGACTCGTGGCACACGCGCCGGACTTGGCCCTGTGCGCGGTCAGCCCC